TATTCTCCCCGTAAGCCGTCGGTCAGACACCGGAGCTCGCGTTCACTGAGAATTTGTTGCTCATTGGTGGATGATCAGCTCAAATTCACGCGGTTAGCCTTAGTTGACTTAGTTAAGCGATAATCTAGATCCGCTTTGCTTTACTTGGTACACTTAAACTAAGGTAACTTCGGCGCAAATCTCCAGCAAATATCTGTTTTTTCCTGCCGTTCTCCAAAAAAAACCGGAAAATTCAGTTTCTCAGCAGAGGTCTATTTGTCGCATTATCTTCGTCAAATCCCATGACCAGCTAAATTCACACGTACGCTGTCTCGGTGGGGAACATAATTCATATGAAGTGGACATGTTTGAACATATCGATCAACTCTGTCTGTTCGCTCCATTATCGATCCACGATCGGCGTAATGATGTTCACTAATTGAACCGACTTTGTCTTCTTTCCTCTTGCCGCTTTGCAACCCGTTTCATCTCTTTCGGAAGTGGTGTGATATCACGGAAGGTATTGAAGCTGAGAATAAGGGGTTAGTTCTGGGATCTATCGACACAAAGATGTAAATAGGAAATCACAGTCTCCCAAAGCAACCTGAGTGTCACAAATCTGAGAAGAACAGATGAACAGGTCAGGTTGGAGCCCCAGCCTGATTGAAACGGCGGTGAGGAAACTTTCTGGAAGCCTACTTTTAGGAGCCCGAGTAGAACAGAAGGAAAAATGGTTATCCATTAAAAAATTTCTGAGTTTGAACTAAAGAACCCGTTGGAATCAAAGTTGCACGATACAACTTGACGATGGTAAAGTACGACCTAATTTGCTGACTTACGTCATCCGCCTGATTATCAGTCGGGCGCTCACATACATTGTGTTCAAGTGAATAGTATCCACTTAAAACATGTTGGTATTCTGCATGCTATCGACCGACATTTCCCAATAGTATCTGGACCCGTTCAAACAACTAGTTCGAAAATCGATTGCTTCTGATTGCCCTCCTGTTGGTCGATACGCAGTACGTGGTAGTGAACGCACAGTTAGTGTAGACAAAAACCCTGCACTTATCTGCTCAACTTCGTTGTCCAAATATCAGGAATTACTCCCACACATGATCATCCTCAACAACTGTGAACCTTGTTCGTGCTGTACAGTGGTTATGGTCGCCACTAAAGATGATCCGGGAAGGTAGGTGTTGATTGCCAAGTTTTGATTCCGATTGGTCTATTTATGATGGGCCATGCGAGGCGAGTCCTGAGTAGACCAATCAGAACAGAGAAAAAACTACTAAATGAAGTTAATCAACAAATCAGTTGTATGCGAGCAACGTAGAGGACAACGGATCAAGAAACGTAAAGGAAGTTGTATATCCAATGATTAAACAACCTCAATGGATATAAGAAGCGCCCCAAAAGGTGTAGAAACGTAGCGAGGCAAGCTGGAACTACCCATCCAACCATAAGCAAATATAGTTTCTTTGATGCATGAGGTGACGTCTGCATTCCAGACTTGACGAGCAGACCAACGGGCACCTGAACGTACTAGAGCTAGCAGCAACTAGTCTTAATGTAAAGATGAGCACTTAGGACATCCAGATTCGTCATCGCCACCGAGACTACATGCGGTGAGGCGGACATTGGTAAAGCACTTGAGTCCCTAACCATCTTTTACAAAGGCAGATAACGCACTCACTTTTGGTAAGTGCAGGCAAATGGGTTACATGCCTCCACTGTTATCTGAATATTCAGTAGACCGATTTACCTAATCCGCTGAAGGCCTTCCGTGAACTTGTTACCCAAGGGAGATTGTACTTTTAATGGAAAGTAACAAATGACACTTATCACATGATCTGCTCAGTCGTGCCGATTCGGATTACGGAAAAGTATCACTCAGATGAACTCTCTCTCATTTGGGGATAAATTCCAAGTAAGAAACGAAATGTGTGTGATGCTTACTGGTCTAATGAACTGAGTTCAACCACGTAAATTGCAAATTCAAGGGAAGGAATTAAAACTTCAAGACAAGAAATCAACAACTAAACAGCGGCAGAGCCAATTAGGATACTGCTATGCATGATCCATTGATTAGTCCACCGTATAGAACAAAAGAATAGTTTAGCTTCTCGATGCCTAACTGCCATGCCACCCGAACGAAGGAATTAAAACTTCAAGATAAGGAATAAACAAGTAAACAGCGGGAGAGCCAACCACGGTACTGCTATGAATGATTCATTGATTAGTTCACCATGTAGAACAAAAAATCGTTCCGCTGCAACGCGCTTTCGGTGTCTAGCTGCCATGCCACCCGTGGTAAGCACGAAGGCTGGGATACTGCCAGGTTGCCTAACCCTAGACAGGGGAAGTCGATAGGCAGAGGTCGGGTTCGAACCATGGATCTCCTAATCAGTAAATTCACGCCCCTCCTACATACACAGGACACTCATAAAGTAGAGAAATCAGTGGGACCGTGTCTGCATTCGGACCAGTCGAACTGCATCAGATCGGACCGGCTGAATAGTACTCAAGCGTCATTCATGAGTTAGAAGTGTTCATCAAACGACTACCCTAGACAGAACAAAGTACACTTGCTAGCTCAGTGCACTGGTGACGCGTAGATCACATGATCGAACTGCGAAATCGATTAGTCGCTGGTACATATGCATCACGACAACGAACTTATATCAATGTCAGTGGAAGTTATGTAGTCATGCAGGGTTAATAACTGCTCGACCATATCAGCTTCCAGAATGACAATCGGATCAGAAATGACCCTGGATTTTGACGTTATTCCCTAACATACGTTCATCATGAATAGCCAGATAGAGGTGGAAGAATAAGACGGCTTGTGCTAGTCGATGTCATTCCGAACAGTCCTGCCCATCGCAGTACACTTGACACACACACAAAAATCAATATTAGCAATTTATCATATTTCAAACTCGATCTGGATGGCAAACGGTCTGCGACCGGGTCACGTGCACGAGGGTGAAGGCAACAACCAACTCAAATGCTTCTATGAAACAAGCCTCAGACTAAGTCGCGTGATCAATAAACTTTCCAGCTGAGTTAAAAAATGACATCTAGCACTTGTTGTAATGATTTTCAAGGTTGAAGGAATGTCCATTTGATGGGTAAATTTGGTTCTATGCGGGGTTCGAAACAAACGTGCATTGATGGCTAACGGCTTGATGTACTTAAAAACATATGTAAGGCTTCCTCCGGGTGACAAGGAATAACCTACTGGTTTCCACACCGGGTACCCAACGTCAGCCACTCATTCGAGGTGAGGTACTATTAATTCTACACTCTAATAAAACTAAGTTCAAGACTGAAAGACAACCGAGACAAAACCAAGAGGTACAATGTGATATGCCAATTCGACTGCAACAACTGCGACAAATTCCACGTTGGACGAACCGGGAAAAAGCATGCACACGAATAAAGGAACACAACGCGGCCGTCAGGAAGCACAGCCATACACAAAAACCAAGAAAATTCATCGACGAATTTTCAGCAACCTTACAAGTAGTGCATTACGACTCTACTGATTGTTCTTTTCCAAAACGACTTGAGAGCCACTCATAGAAAAGCCTTAGGTTGCAGCCACGTCACGTGAGATCTAAGAGCTCAACGTTTCTTCAACGTTTCTTATTGGGAATTCATTGCTCGGAAATGGATCATACAATGCGCCTAAGAAAAGTGTTGCTCGTCGGTTGGACCTTCTGGAACCACCCCAACCATTTTTAAGCAAGCTTTTGGCACCACAAGTGTGTGTGAATCTGGTAGGCTTGCTCAAATCAATGAGTCACGTGTTCGCCATCGATTCATCCAGACGGTAGGTCGACTCAGTGAATGACAAGCGGATAAAGTCTGATAATCATGCCTAGGAAACGAATACTGACGCATGATTTAGAAAGATCTCCATGTGAATTCCCGCAAGTTAACTATCATGCCGTGCAAACAGAAACTCAAAAAGAGTGTTTCTTGATATTTCAGAGGATTCTTGACTCCGAATTTGCCGTGTTCGTCTCCCAGACAACCAGTTTCACATAAAATTTCAAACCTAAGAATTTGGAGTGTTCCTCTTGGAATTTCGGGACTGGTTGTACAATATCATTCCCCGAGACTCAGGCATCCCCTGAAGAGAACCAGTTTTCCTTTCCTGAGGACATTTGCAGTGTTTATTCTGAAGGACAAAGCAACTATCAGAAAATTAAGCGAATGACACTTATGGGAAGAGCCCCAATCCCAAGTAACTGGAGAAATAAAAAAATCATTGTGTCATTTGTGCCATACTTTTGGGAAAGATGTAGACGGTTACAGCATTGCGGGACTCCCCAGAAGCAAACACCATCAGGTAAGCAAAAATAGCCTCAAGCATACTTCAATATGCCTCAATGCAAGAAGGGTAACTGGCACAATTTTTCAGATCCGTAATCCTTCGACTTTTTTATCCATGTCATTCAAAACGGTGAATGTATTGTCCAACATTTTAATGCTGTTTGAAAAAGATAAGTGAAATGCATCATTTTGTGAGACGTATCCAATTTAGCTATGGTGTTGTGAATTGTTATGTCAGCTATTCTGGTGACACCCTAGACCAGAGTTTCGGCTGTTTTACAAAGATATTAGCAACCTAGGCTGCAGTTTCCGTAGTATTATTCTCCCTGCAAAATAATGGTGCTCGAAACTTTCCCGTGGTTCATTGGAATTGCAAACTTGCCACGAACTCAGTCAGGCCCATTCACTTGTTCCAACTACCTATCTATCATTCACACCCATGAAAAGCCAGTGCGAAAAATCCGCGTATATTTGCCTGCCACGAGCGCACCGCTAGCTGTGATATAGCTACCAACGCTGACCAATCAGCAACGCGAAAACATTTCACTGCCTCTCATGCTTGCGATTGGCTAAAGCCGTTAAATCGATCTCGGCATTTCGCTAAGCCGCTAGGTGGCCGCGGTCCATAACTGAAATCCAACCAATGGGCAATGCACATAACAAAGGCGAATAGGATTGCGCTGTGTGCCCTGTTACCGATGCACTGACCTGTGACAAGGCGTCCGCGGTGCGTCGGTACCGAAGCTTGAATCCACAAGGTATTTCAGAGCGTGTGAATGCCTACGACATCCCGTTCAACGCTGGATTACTCTTTTGAGGCAGCAGTGGACTAATGTTGCGTTGATCAGCGTGTGGTTAACACAATCCATGTCCAACCGGCTGACTCGTATGTGTTCATTATTAGCCCCAGTCACTCTGTTGTTAGCTTTAGCGATCACTCCTGTCTCAGCAAACTCAAAAGCATACGATAAAATATGTATGCCTTCCAACAGCCCGGAATTACCACCAAGAGTGTACCCAATACCGCTGGTGAGAAAAACGTTCGATCAGATTGTGGAGGCCACTAGTCGGGTGAACAAAAGACGCCGCCAGTATGCGATGTTACAACCCAAAGGAAAGAATTATCGATATGTGCAGGAAATTTTACTGGGTCTTCAGTTGGATGCTTTAGGTGACGAAACGTTGGCTGAAGTTCTACCAGCTATTGATATAGCCCTGGATACGATCCAGGAATCGTCTGCCTACAGTGGGATTACTTTTACAACAGTGCCTATCCTTCATATGACTTCCGTTGGTTGTGATTCGCTAGCCGTGTTATCGAAGTTCGACAATAGGGAAATTCACGTGTTATTCGGGCCGCTGAATGACTTCAGCATTGCAAATGTAGCCCGATTCAGTAGTTCCGTGTACAAAATCCCGATCGTCACTCCTGCTGGCTTTGCCCATCAGCTGAAGGATAAGTATGAATATGAGATGCTCACTCGAGTTTTTCTCACCTATTCCGACCTGGCATGGGTCATTAATGCGACCCTGAGACAGTTTGGTTGGACCCCGGAATCTCTGACACCGATCGGAATCTATGGGGCACGGAATCAACGAAGCCTTTCGAGTGGTGGACATAATCCTCTGCTTGGTGTCTTTCAAATGCAGAGTCTGCAAAACTTTTTGGTGAAGGAGGGTTTCAAGATGTTCCAGGTTGTCACAGAAGAGTATGAACAGGCAGTGGAACAATATTTGAAACGATTACCGAAAAATGTTCGAAGTGAGTTTGTATACGAACTGGTTGTATTTTGCTGGAAGTGTTCGAGCTGTCTGGTACTCTCTTCACCCAGGTTCTGATAGCAGAAGATTTGACACAAAACTTTTTGAAAAGATGTTATTTGGCTCAATGGTAACTTGTTTATTTAACGCACCTGAACAAAGCGAGGACTAAATTGGAGAATCCAGGACCAGTCTATTTGTGAACTATGCCATCTTTTCGAGATGGAAGTCCTATTGACTCTCATCGCTATTATCGCTCAAACTCAGCGAGGATTGCAATAAAGGGACCAGATGCTCTCCAGTGTGAAAAGTATTCTGATCAATATCTAGCGCATTTGCTCAGCAATTAGGTGAGATTTTATTGTTTGCTATTCAGAATTATTCAACCGAAAGAGCATCACTGCAATGTAGAAATGTGCTTTTGGCGGGACGGACATTTGAAGGATAGAATGAATGAGTCAAGCGCACCAAGGTTGTTGCAGCTGCCGACTGGACAGACACTCAGCTCAGATTTGCGAGTAACGGTTGACTGGGTGATAGAATTCATTCTGACAATTTTCTGGATGGCTGGAAAGTGGTTTCATCGCTCAGTTGCGTGTCTGGCACCCCTGAAAGACTGGTTGGTTGCGTATTTGGGTCGATTGAAATCCTGAGTAAGCTGGTACAAAATATATACCCTGTCCGGTGGCTTTAATTAATCTTCCGAACGGTAGTGATGGAGGGTGCTTTGCCTGTTATTGATCGCTACAGCAATCTGCGCAATTGAGCTGTGTTTGTTTTCAATCGATGCACTCGGATCAAGATATGCTACGGAAAATTACCGCAATCGTTTGAATCACGCGCCCCGTAACGGTTGAAACCTTGCACGTGATAAGGAGATACATCCTGTCAGAAAAATGAGGAACGTTAGTAAACGATGGGTAAGAAAGGGCACTCTAATCGTCCCTCGAATGTTTTCTAATGGGTCCATGTCGCGGAATATGCGACAGTCACAAATACGGTTAAGGGTACTGAATTGTTACATGTGCATTCCGTAATAAGTAATTAAGTCCTCCAATAATGCCGAATGCTATTACACTATGCGCTGGGAAGCCTTTCGAGTGGTGGACATAATCCTCTGCTTGGTGTCTTTCAAATGCAGAGTCTGCAAAACTTTTTGGTGAAGGAGGGTTTCAAGATGTTCCAGGTTGTCACAGAAGAGTATGAACAGGCAGTGGAACAATATTTGAAACGATTACCGAAAAATGTTCGAAGTGAGTTTGTATACGAACTGGTTGTATTTTGCTGGAAGTGTTCGAGCTGTCTGGTACTCTCTTCACCCAGGTTCTGATAGCAGAAGATTTGACACAAAACTTTTTGAAAAGATGTTATTTGGCTCAATGGTAACTTGTTTATTTAACGCACCTGAACAAAGCGAGGACTAAATTGGAGAATCCAGGACCAGTCTATTTGTGAACTATGCCATCTTTTCGAGATGGAAGTCCTATTGACTCTCATCGCTATTATCGCTCAAACTCAGCGAGGATTGCAATAAAGGGACCAGATGCTCTCCAGTGTGAAAAGTATTCTGATCAATATCTAGCGCATTTGCTCAGCAATTAGGTGAGATTTTATTGTTTGCTATTCAGAATTATTCAACCGAAAGAGCATCACTGCAATGTAGAAATGTGCTTTTGGCGGGACGGACATTTGAAGGATAGAATGAATGAGTCAAGCGCACCAAGGTTGTTGCAGCTGCCGACTGGACAGACACTCAGCTCAGATTTGCGAGTAACGGTTGACTGGGTGATAGAATTCATTCTGACAATTTTCTGGATGGCTGGAAAGTGGTTTCATCGCTCAGTTGCGTGTCTGGCACCCCTGAAAGACTGGTTGGTTGCGTATTTGGGTCGATTGAAATCCTGAGTAAGCTGGTACAAAATATATACCCTGTCCGGTGGCTTTAATTAATCTTCCGAACGGTAGTGATGGAGGGTGCTTTGCCTGTTATTGATCGCTACAGCAATCTGCGCAATTGAGCTGTGTTTGTTTTCAATCGATGCACTCGGATCAAGATATGCTACGGAAAATTACCGCAATCGTTTGAATCACGCGCCCCGTAACGGTTGAAACCTTGCACGTGATAAGGAGATACATCCTGTCAGAAAAATGAGGAACGTTAGTAAACGATGGGTAAGAAAGGGCACTCTAATCGTCCCTCGAATGTTTTCTAATGGGTCCATGTCGCGGAATATGCGACAGTCACAAATACGGTTAAGGGTACTGAATTGTTGCATGTGCATTCCGTAATAAGTAATTAGGCCCTCCAATAATACCGAATGTTAGTATACTGTGTGCTGAACTGGGCTCGAAATAACTGAGTGGCCAAGGCGCCAGCTTACGGATCGGAAGGTCCTTGGTTCCCAATCAACCTCGGTATCTTGACTGCTCCTGTGTGGCCCTCCAATAATACCGAATGCTAGTATACTGTGTGCTGAACTGGGCTCGAAATAACTGAGTGGCCAAGGCGCCAGCTTACGGATCGGAAGGTCCTTGGTTCCCAACCAACCTCGGTATCTTGACTGCTCCTGTGTAGGCTTGGACAGCCTGGCACTATCCCAGTCCCGTTCCGTTGGAATGGCAGCTAGGCACCCAAAGGTTGCTGCGGTTGAACGATTGTTGATTTGTGTGTTAAACCGTGGAATAATGAGGACACAAAGCGGCGAACTGCAACTAACGTCTTTGTGAAGTAAGACGTTAAACTAAATGTTGCAGACTAGCAGAACTCGAATCCGTAGGAAGAGGGAAGAAATAGTAATAGTGTTAGTAATGACAATAACGCTTCGTGTCTCTAAGTCGTTCACAGTTTTGCGCTTCAGTAACCTTCTTAAAAAGTCAGTTTGGTTTGGGCTGACATCAGTTCTGAAAACCTCTCGAATTTAGCTAGAAAGGCGTCCAGTTTTGGGTGGGAGGAATCGTTCATCTTCCTTCTGTCCTGTAGATTAGAATCTTGAGTCAAGGTGGCGAGCTTCAATTGAAGGCGCCTCATCTACCCGATGTCTCCCTTCCCATCTCTATGCAGACAAAAAGCTCGATGCCCCTCTGACTAATCTCGTTAACGATACCACCCACTGCCAATCTTGCTGGGTAGATCATCGATGAACTAAACCATGGCATCTAGAACCACCGTACAGCATGCTTGTACATGTTTTACACATGTTTCTTGTTTTGCTATGTAAATAATGCTCTGCTTGTATCAGTTGTACCCCAACACTTGGCGCAAGAGCAAACTAACCAAATTCTCGCGCTACGTGTCGTCAAGATTATTGTCATGCGACTGCTTTCTTCTACGGCGGTGAGGAAACGATGAAACGCTCGAAAAGTGGTACTCTTGCTTATATTCCCGAAGCTTACCCTCCCCCATCGTGTAGCTTTCATGATTTGTCCTTGTGGCTTTTTCAAACAAGTCTCGTTCCCGGAAATAACCTTTCCAAAACATCCTGTGCAAGCTATCCTGTTGCGAATCACTAGAATCTGGAAACTTTGATCCATTCCGCTCAACCTCAGAAACTTGCACTCCCAACCTGATGAGCTGCTGACCTGTTGAAGGATGGAATGACAAACAGGACATCCACCAAAGACCAAATTAAAGTGGCCTTGAGTACGATGGTGAACAGGCACACGTTGAAGCTCATCTTGTTTGGCTCGACCCCGTCTATGTAGAAAGATGACCACACTACTATATGTTGTGGGACTTTTATACACCACCCCTGATTCTTCCGGAAAGAAAATCGTTAAGCTGTAGCACCCTTTCGGTGCCTAGCTGCCATGCTATCAGAAGGAGGCACAAGGGCTGGGATACTGTCAGGTTGCCCAAGCTTAGACAGGAGAAGTCGAGAGGGGACACTTATAACGAGGTTGCTTTGGGTTCCCACAAAAGTAACGTGTTCGTTGTGTAGCGGCAGAAACTGTTGTTTCGGAAATAACAATGGGTAAAGGAGTAGACACAGAACAAGTAACGGGTTGTCCGTATACATATGATTGTGACTGTTTTTGTGCAATTTCGAGAGCTCGTGCGGTTTCGCGGGCTTTGTCAAGGTCCAATTCATGCCACGTTAGCAGTTCCTCCCGAATGGTATTCGACTGCAGTCCGATTATCAGGGCATCCCGAACTGCTTCGTTTGTATGCTCCACAGCAGATACTGCTTTGAATTCACAGTCTATAGCAAGCGATTTCAGTTTTTGAACGAATTGGTCGACATCTCAAAAACCGTAGGTCGGAGAATATGATCCACTTCGTTTCTATTAGACGAATAAATTGTTGCGAGAGTCGAGTAGTTCCAGGACGAGATTAGAAAGGAGACAGAATAGAAGGACGTAATGTACTCTTTAATCGTCTAATAACGGTGGTATATGAGCTGGAAATATGGAGTATTACGAGTTAATGGTCTATACAAAGGTATGGTTTATATAGTCATGACAGAACCTTCCAGTCAGTAAATTCGCACTCCAACCACTTGGGCCATCCCACCATCCCGCTCATCAGATTCCTCTAAAGTGAGATGAAATCCAGTGGCAGGAGCAGCGAGTCACAGTTTGATTGTGCTTAGCAGATAAATGTGATAAACGCATCCAGGGCTTTTGGTAGGACCAAGTGAAACCTGTTGAGGTTCGGTACGATATTCGTTCGCGTTTTCCTAATTGGCTAGCTAGGTTAGTAACCACGTCTCTTCTCCACACACGTACATGCCCACTGTGTTTGTCTCTAGTGACCAAGGCAGAATAATGCCTCGCCGATGCTGCCTGTCCTCTCCATCTAATCGCAACAGAAGCTTGAAAGATACGACAAATCGTCGTGTGTGCTAAGAAGCGATGACATAACACTTCAATTAACGACTATTTTGTAGGGTGAGCAGAGCAACTGCAAACCAGAGTCTATCAGCACACTACCCGATGTGTTTGGGAGAGAATTAGGGGATAAAACGACGTAGTTTTAGTTTATATCAGTTTTGTGTTGGGTAC